GCCATGGCGTTATAGTTCACAGCAACCTCAAACTTTTGGCCTTAAGCAATCCTCTTGCCTCAGCCTCCCAAGTAGCTGGGACTGCAGGTACCTGTTGTAACACCTGGCTAATATTTCTAATTTTAGTAGAGATGAAGTCTCTCTCTTACTCAGGCTGGTCTCAAACTCCTGAACTCAGGCAATCCACCCACCTTGGCTTCCCAGAGTGCTAAGATTATAGGCGTAAGCCACTGTGCTTGGCCTAAAAACTCCCCATTTTATAAATATAAAATCTGAGGCAACTAGAGTTTAAGTGACTCGCTAGAAAGTAGCAGAGCTGGACCTTTTCCATCCCTTGCCTTTCAACATGGAGCCCTCAGCTTAGAAAAAGATGTCGTCGTCACACACTGCACTGCAGGGAGAGCTCGCCCTCTATTGCAGGGGAGACCTCATGTGGGCTCTGGTGGGGTCCAGCCCAGGGGTAAGAGGAGCAGCTCCGAAGCTTCAGGGAGGAAGGCAGACTTCCCCCAAACTGAGTCTACCTATAAGCTAATCCTGAGCTTTCTCTACTACCCTCAGGAAGTTGGGATATAGCCAGCAGGGTTAAGTGAGCCTACTCCATTGTACAACTCTGAAAGTTAAACTGCTGAATTATATTTTATTTATTTATTTTGAGACAAAGTCTCACTTTGTCACTCTAGGTAGAGTGCTGTGGCATCATAGATCACAGCAACCTCAAACTCTTGGGCTCAAGAGATCTCGCCTCAGCTTCCCAAGTAGCTGAGACTAAAACCACTGAATTATATACTTTATGTTGTTTTTTTTGAAACAGAGTCTCACTATGTCGCCCTCAGTAGAGTGCCATGGCATCACAGCTCACAGCATCCTCAAACTCTTGGGCTTAAGTAATTCTCTTGCCTCAGCCTCCCAAGTAGCTGGGACCACAGGCGCCTGCGGCAGTGCCCAAATATTTTTTTGTTGCAGTTGTTTAGCAGGCCCAGGCCAGGTTTGAACCCACCACCTTTGGTGTTTGTGGTCAGTGCTGTAATCAATGTGCTACAGGCACCGAGCCTTTTTTTTTTTTTTTTTGAGACAGAGTCTCATCCTGTCATCTTGGATAAAGTGCCATGGCATCATCATAGCTCACAGCAACCTTCAAGTATTGGGCTTAAGTGATTCTCTTGGCTCAACCTCTCAAGTAGCTGGGACTACAACCCCCTGCCACAATTTCTAGCTAATTTTTCTGTTTTTTTGTAGAGATAGGGTCTTGCTCTTGCTCAGACTGGTCTTGAACTCCTGAGCTCAAGGGATTCTCCGCCTTGGCCTCCCAGAATGGTAGGATTATAGGCATGAGCCACCATGCCCAGCCAATACAGCTGCTTTTTAAAAAAAGTTCACTCCTCTGGCACCTCTGGGAAAAGTTCCTTTAATAAAAAAGTTCCAGTACATTTACATGATTGTCATCACCCTTCATCTATAGCACACAACAGGGAAAATAAAAAATAAAGGACAACCTAGACACGCTCAGTATAAAAACACAGTGATCCATCCATCCCAGTGCAGGCCTTGGGGCCTGGAAGTCAGAGAAATGCATGAGGGCCACTGAGTCCAGCAGCTCTGGGCTTTGCTTCTAGAGGACCCGCCTCTAACTCTTTGAAGATAGCATTAAAAATATTTTTGTTTTACTAAGAGGCCTCTTTTCTAAGGAGAAGGGTCCATTCCAGAGGGAAAGTCATCATGGGTCAGAGCAGGCCCAGGCCCAGGACACAGGGCTGAGCTATTATGGCAGATGAGAGACTCATGGGAACCCAACCTGAGGCCACTCTGACCTAGGCTGAGAGGTTTCAGGGCCGAAGCCACACGGCCCACATTTGTCCATTCTGAAAGGCTTAGAAACCAACCCCGCTAATGTCAAACTTGTAGCCTCTCCCTTCCAAGTTGCTAAAGCCACTTCCTGACAAGCTCCAAAGTTCTCGGCTGAAGTGGGGACAGAGGGCCCTTGGAGATGCTACTGTGGCTTGAAGTTTAGTTCCCCGCCCTGAGGGCAGGTGGCCTAGTTGTCCTCACCGCCACCATACATGTCCGCCAGCTTCTTGAAGCGGCTGCCCCACTCATTCAGATAGTCGTAATCTTGGTCCTGGTCAGAGGCTGAGGAGGTGAGGGAGCTCAGCGAGGCGGCATCCGAGCCGCTGCCCTCATAGTCGAACACCAGCAGGGAGTCGTAGGGCGGGGCCGTGGGGTCTGTGTTGGCTGCCTTCAGGTTCTGCGGGAGCAGAGGTCAGGTAGTTAGGGGCGCTGGGCCCTGATGCCTATTTCCCCATCTGTGAGGCCACTTCTCCCCTCCTTTAAAGGTTTTGAAGGTTGAAATGAAATAATCCATCTCAAGTACTTAGCACAGAGACCAGCACACAGCACGTGCTCTGTGCAGCACAAGGCCTGTGGCTGAGGGCCAGGACTCTGCAAGCAGACAGCCTGAGCTAGAACTCAGACTCTACATGCTAGTCTTGTGACCTTGAGTGAGTCTCTAAATGGGTCTATGTCTCTGTTTCCTTGCCTGTAAAATGGTGATACTTCATTCATATAGTTTCACAGAAACAAATGAACATAGGCAAATGTATGTAAAGCACTTATTAGAATGGTACCTGGCAATAATAGCTATTATTACTTTAATAAATGCTACAAGCTAGGTCAATAGTTCCCAAGCTTAAATCACCTGGAGAAACTTTAAAAAATTCTGAAGCCCAGGCCAGGCATGGTGGCTCATGCCTGTAACCCCAGCACTTGAAGGCTGAGGTGGATGGATTGCCCTGAGCTCTCAGGTTTAAGACCAGCCTGAGCAAGAGCAAGACCCCGTCTCTAAAAACTGCCGGGCGCTGTGGTGGGCTCTTGTAGTCCCAGCTATACTTGAGAGGCTGTGGCAAGAGGATCACTTGAGCCTAAGAGTTTGAGGTTGCTGTGAGCTATGACACCATGGCACTCTACAGAAGGCGACAAAGTAAGACTCTATCTCAAAAAAATTTAAGCCCAAGCCATACCCAGACCAATTAAATTACATGGGTCATTATGAAAGTTTTGAGATACACAAAAATCAAGAATCGTAAAATCTGTGTGAGTGGAAACAAATGAAGTCCTCCCAGCAACACCAACCCAGCAACCTCAAACTGTTGGTCTCAAGTGATCCTCTTGCCTCAGCCTCAGCCTCCTAAGTAGATGGGACTACTGATGCTTACCACCATGCCCAGCTGTTTTTTCTATTTTTAGTAGAGACAGGGTCTCTCTCTTGCTCAGGATGGTCTTAAACTCCTGAATTCAGGCAAACCACCCACCTACCCATCTCAGTCTCCCAGAATGCTAGGTGTGAGCCACTGTGTCTGCCTGAGTCCTAATCATTTTTAGCTATTTTCCATATTAGGTTTTTTTTGGGGGGGGGGGCAGTTTTTGGCTGGGGGCTGGGTTTGAACCTGCCACTTCCGGTACATGGGGCCAGCGCCCTACTCCTTTGAGTCACAGGTGCTGCCCCTTATTAGGGTTTTATGGAGGAGGAAAGAGAACCCCAGAAGTTACTCAAATATGCTAGCAGTCACACAGCTGGTTGGTGGAGCCTCGATTTAAACCCAGATGCAAGACTCAAAGCTCATACTTGTTCTTTGTATTGCTGGTGCAAGACTTGAATGAAGGAGTGCCCTAGGCTGGCCTGCCACACTTTACCTCGATGATGAAGTTGCCGATTTCATCTGGGTTGGCTGGCCGAGGACGGTACATGGGTGTGGGGATGAAGGTTGGTGCCACGTCATTTCGGAGAACCAACTCGGGCCTGGCCTCCAGACCCCGGTGGAGCTGGGTGATGTCATAGTCCTTTAGGGAAAGGATATAAACATAGGATCAAGAAGGACTCCCCTCTCCACCACTTAACTTTGAAGCCTGGTAGGTCTTAGAAGATACAATGTTGGGAGTTTCTGAAAGACCCAGTTTCCATCCTCCCTACCCTTCCAAATTAAGTACAGGTTCAAGGTTAACCTGCCTAGGGTCAAAGAGACTGCAGTGATGGACCAGACCCCTCTCAGAAGAGGAGAGTCCATAGCCGATCCTGCATGGAGAATCCATGCCTGAGTCTGGTCAGCACAGCTAATGCTGTTAGCTGGTTGACCCAATCATCCCTGCCAGGGGCCTCGAGGGCATATATCTCCTGTCCCACCTGGTCCTCTTCGCCGCCCCCTTCTTCACCATAGTAGAAGACGTTGTCACGGGTGTCATCTTCTGGGAGTAGAAGGGGCTCCTTCACCTTCCGCTTCTTTCTCACCAACAAGAGGAGCACCAGCAGGAGTACTGCAGAGTTGGGGGATGGGCATGAACACAGTGCATGGCTGGCCAAGACCCCCAAGCCCTCAGCGGCCATGATTCAGACCACTCTGCTCAGTAGCCAGAGCTCACCACTGCAATGGTTCCACCTGCACTTGGGAAACCCCACCTCCTCTAGGATGCAGGATTTGGCTCCTGCCTGTGCACACTCCTTCTCCCATCAAGGTCTAGCAGTTTCCCACTTAAGAATCTTTCCTTGCCTGGCACTTTCTGGGCACATACATGGCTCTCACCCTCAGGTCTCAGCTTAACATCATGTCTGTCTAGAGCAGTCATTTTCTTTTTCTTTTTTTTT